CAAAGAATGAATTTTGGCACAGATTCTTCCAAAAAAAGGACCATGTTGGTACCATTGGGAAATGACCTCAAGATCTTCTGTTTTGTCAGCTAAGCCAGGCTTCCATGTTAACGTTTGCATTAATGTATGTGCAGAAGGCAAGAGGGTGGTGTTGGGGGAATAGTGTAGACTGGTTGTCCCTGATATCATCATTTTGTCTGAGGCAAGAGAAATCTAGTGGTGTTGCAAGAAAAGGAGGGGAAAATATTCATAAAGGGCAGCCTCCACATTTCCAAAAAAAGGCATCAGTGGGAATTGAATTATGAACTTCCAGTTTCCCCGGCAGGAGCTTTTTATCACCTAAGCTTCAGTGCCTGATGACATCCTTCCTAAATACAGTGATATAAATTTAAGGACGATCTCTCAGTTGCTCAGTTGCATTGTTTCTGTTCCCAAGATTCAGACTGAGGACACTAACAGAGAATCATGCTTGGCCATCATTTTTTGTTAAGTCATTGTGAACACTAATGTCAAAATATACTTCCTGTTGTTGTGCTTATCAGGGGAAAAAACTGGAGAAACGAAGTCTCAAAAGCGCTAGCTGTCCCTACCACTGGATTATCTTACTTTACACATACTTTCCAGAGTAAACCACAAACCATACAGCAAACTATAGTGATGTGTCCACATTCCTTCAGCCTTTTTCTCTCAGTTGGACAGACTGAACTGCAACTTCCCAAAAGCCAGCATGTTCATGCAACATTCCTCCAAAGTCCTCCATTAAAGGTCCATACTTTTCAAAGAAGGTAACTCCCCAGCAGACATGAAATTGCCAACTGGGACTATCAGGCAGTTGCAATTGTGAAAGCTCCAGGAAAGGAGCCTATGAAGGAGGCTGCTGCGGCCAGTCAGAGAATGGCACTCCTTTCCACAATGGATGGCCCCTCATTTTCCTTTGGAAGCATTAGAGCCCAGGTAGCAACTGTCCCCTTGCTGTGTGCTCACTTGCCAATATCAAAGTAAAAGAATGGAAGGGGACAGCTCAGAAATTTGACAGACAGACAGACAGACAGATGATAGATGTTTTCAGCACAGATCTATATTGGAATACCTCTGAAATTAGCTGACTGGACAGGACTATCTTAGCTCTAGCATATTCTTTGGACAATACTGATACATACTACATGAAGCATCCATCTAACTCAACAGTCAAGATGATGGCAACAGCAATTAAACAACTGTCTATGCCAGGCCTATCTTGTGTGGCCCACCAGCATCAATTCAGTAAATCCATCACCATTGCCTGGAAGGATCTGCCGCTAATTCCACCCCAAAAGACACACTGTGGAGGCCTCCAGACCTCACCAACACCACCAGCTCCCTCACTGATGCCACTCCGCTACTTTCCAAACAGCTGATTGGCATACCAGGTACTCCTTTGTGGCCAGCTATTATTTTTAATTTATCAATGCCTCCCTTTCCCCTCTACAAGTTGTGCTGACCTGCTCTATAACCATTGTTCTTGAGAAATGCTGTACTCAAAATTATCTGAAGGACAGTGTTCATTGTAGGATTGCATCTAAAGCCTTTTGTTTCTAGATAACCCTTGTGGAACTTCCAATATATTTGGCCTCCCAACTGAACTTCTTGAGAAAGGGCCTTCTGTTGAGTTATTTTATTTCAGTTTTACGATAAAACGAAAAAGAGGAGCTAATCTTCCTATTAAAAAACTGTTTGCAAGTCATGACATTACTTGGTTTGAGAATTTTAATTTTATCTACACATAAAGTTTTTAATAATATACAATCAGGTACATTAAACACTGCTTATAAATAAAGTATTTTATGCACATGTTACAGTTTGAGCAAAACTTCCCCTTAAACCTGCATTCATACTGGATATTTATTGAGAAGAATATTGTACATACATTTAGTTTAACAGGCATTTTTCTTTTTTTCCCCTTTATTTTTCTTTTTGTTGTTTTTATTTTACTTCATTTGATCTTTCCCCCTTCCATTTATAGATTAAAAGTAAAATAAAATAAAATAGTAATATAACAAAAATAAATTCCCCAAAATCCAATGCTTTTTTTGAGAATATTGATATACATTTAATACACAGAGATTGATATTTTTTTATATGGTTTGTTATAAAATCCTGGGATTCCCTGTAGTAAGTGGAATCTGGGCCTAAAAAAGTCAAATACTGGCTCTAATGCAACATATTCCTATTAGCCATTTTAGAACCGAATCTCTCCTGTAAACTCCCTGATTACATTTTAACATTTTACCTGATTCACTGAGATGGAGACTTGGGGGGGGGGGAGCAATTCTGCACACTTCAAACAGTGGCACAGTACTGATTGGCTAGCTCCTGTGTGTGATCAAGAACACTCCCAATTTCTGGCATGATGTCACACATGTTGGCCAGAAACAGAACACATCTTTTCTTGGAAGGACACAAAAGACAGACATGATGTGTGGACTCGTGCACACTCAGAATCACATTTCTTTCTTTCAGTTTGTATGGTCACCCACTTGCCATGGGACTCTGAAAGGCTATATCAGTTTTCCCATTCAAATCCAGATCACCATAAAGCCCTAACAGATATCTATTCTTTTACTACAAAGCCATCCTTGTACAGCAATTGGAGAACTGTTTTCATATTAGAATTGTCATCCCCTTTAGCATATCTCTTGATAACATCTTTTTTTAATCTATGCTACAGTTCCCAACATTTCTGGGTTTTTATGCAAATGAATATATTGTCATCAAAGTCTTTGAAAACCACATTGTGTCATCAGTGCAGCCCCTGTGGGCAGCAAGGCATGGATGAAGTCCTTTTCTCTCTTCCCCCAAAAACACATTTAAAAGGTAATTGATTTTTAAAAAAAATGATCAAAAACATGAAGTTGCAACATAAATGTTAATATATCACCTGACATCTGGTAAGAAAAGGAACTGATGGGTTTCAAGTCACCATCTACATTATATTTATGTGGACTGAATGGAAACAAAGGATTTTAGAATTGGTCCAAAAAACAGCTAAGACCATTGTTGGATAATTTGAAGGATTAAGCAAAACATGTGGCGATTTTCACATATATCACACAGCTATCTCATTCACTCTGAGCAGCGTTCAGGCAGTGTAGCTGGTGTTATCAGCAGATAAAGCAACTACACATGCCATTTTGTTCTCTTCAACATACAAGGAGGTCTGATTTGCTAATATCATGGTCTCCAGGCACCTGAAAGGTATTATTTCCTTCTGAAAACAGATTGATGACTTAGAGTCTTTTATACCTAAGCCAAATTAGAGATAATAATACATAGCATTTAAATAGTGCATTCAATTAAACCTTAGATTATTCAGTAAATAAATAGAATGGCCTGGGTATTAGGGCCATGCAATGCTCCAGACTGGGTTGGAAGTGAAATATCGGAAAGGACAGGAGCTCGAACACAGCACTTACCTGTGACTCATTAAAGCACAGACACGGCTGCATTCACATTCCTGCAGAGTCTGAAACAGCTCTTTCAAACCAAATCCAGAGCCCTGCACAATTGAATAGAATATTGCTTTCTTCTATTCCCCCAGAATGCTTTTTACCGCTTAAACCTATTTTTGCTCTTTCTGGGCAGACAAACACACTTTAAACAAAAGAGTCTCCAGGATCCACCACAATGTTTTACTTTGTAAAATGATTACAGTTTGCAAGAAACAATCTTGCAAATTTAAGTGGCACTAAAGGTTACACACTACTACTACTGTGCTAGATGCCAGCTTCCTATTGATTATTTAATTAAAAGAATCTAAAAAGAATAAGGTGAAAAGGGGCCTTATGGGCCCTAAAGGGAATTGTCGGTGGGGGAGTGATGGCTATAAACATGTCAACTACTCCTGGAAAATCGGGACCACCCAAAAAAATCTGATTGTTAAATAATAAAATAACAAGAATTTTTTTTCTAAACATCATCCAAAAAAAAAAAAAAAATCTGGACCCTTTGGTCTAATGTTATTGCTGCCTGAGAATTTCTTTATGGGGAATCGAAAAAGTCTGGGCACATTTATGTATTTTCAGTCTCTCATTTCACACTGGACCATCTACACTGTAATTTTTAATTGATTTGATTATTCGATGGTATCAATTTGCCTCCCTCCTAGACACGCACACAGACACGCTCTACTGGTCAGAGGAAGACAGCTTTCTCCAGCTGTAGAATTCTCCCCTATCAACCAGGTCCTTTCACATAATGAAAAACTTAATGTAACTGAACATAATAATTAGCATGTCGAATAAAATAATAATAATAATAATAATAATAATAATAATAATAATAATATATCAACATATGGAACATATCACATAAAAGGGAGAAAATTAGCTGATGTGCTGTTTGGATTTAGTGTAGTTTTTCATTTCTCCTCTTCAGCAAACACTTGTGACTCAACTGAACATGAAACAATACGTTCCTGTGATGGATGTCCCATGTCCACAGCCTCTTCCTCTTCTTATTTAATCAAAATCTTGGAAGACATAATAGGAGATTAATGATGCCAGTTCAGGATAGAACAAAACCTGAACTTGGCTCTTCCATCCTCAAATCTAATATTAGGAATAACTTTGTGGTGAAGATGCTAGCAGGATCTGACTAAGCAATGTCCGAAGAAGAGGGCCTATCCTGCAGAAATAACACGTTAAGTAATCTTCAGTGTCATTTGTATGTAGGTTGTACATAATTGAACATCAGAATATTCTAGATGGGATTTTATTCTCTTTACACTTTAGAGAACTGGACTTCCTATTATCTTTTTTGAATATCGTTTAAGAGAGGGGGGAAAGGTATTTTATCTTTTTAAAAGCTACCTGAATGATAGTATGTAGTATATTTTAGGGTTTCTTTTTATCGAGTTGGTTGATCATATAGTCAGCCTGCGAGTTCAAAGCTACTTTTATACTCAACTGGAGGAACAGCTTAAACTTCAAAGTTGACTTTCACTTTGATCTTTTAACTGAGTTTTGATGCTCCAAGGTTTTTCTTAAACTCTCAGGTATAGATTCCTGCCTTCTACTAAAGTCGACCTTGAAACAAAAACAAGCTATATTTCTTTTCTAAATAAATGCCCTATTTTAAAAAAAGCAACTGGGCAAAGATCATTATTCTATACGCTAGAAATAAGGCATTCTTCTTCTGAAACTGATGAACCCCTTTAAAATTAATGAGGTCTGACTGAGCAGTGGTACAGCATTATTTCTCCTGTTGTGCAGAAAATAAGTAGCTGACACTTCAGTTTTTAAAGATTCTCCACACACAAATCCAGTTACTCATGTGTATCCTGCAGTGCTCTCCCACCATCCTGTGGTGACTCGAGGAAATACAAGTCGATTAAGTTTCTGTCAGGTACAATCCTTTAGCTGCGAGGGCAGGAGGAGAAGCCCTTTTAAGCAGTTTTAGCTAAACAATTCACACAGAACATCCCTAACCAGAGGCAGATACAAACCACAGCAGGATAACTGCTGAAGTGGCAGTGCAAACATCTTAGATCATCTTGTAGCAACCCCTACTTCATGCTTGCATCACTTTATTTTCTCTTCAGAAAGCGCCTCTAAATTCATGAAAAGTCAGATTCCATGGCTAATCCCCCGTTTCCTATAGTTTATGGTAGGGAAGCATAATCCATTTCAAGCCCAGGCCACAACTGGGCTCTGAATAGCATCAGTCCTCCCCTCTCTGGCTATGGCTGTGCAATGACTATATGCATTCACTGGCATTTTTAATTAAACTATAGCTAGCTATGGTATTTTGAACCTGTCCAGCTAGGTGGCTGATCTCAACATGCTAAACAGGACTGGAACTGGTTAGTGCTTGGATGTCAAGAAATTCCAGGGTTGTTACTAGACTGGGAAATTGAAAAGCCATCCTGGAATAAGGTATCAGCAAACAATGTCTGTATTGATGCCAAGAAAACAAAATAAATGTGTCCATAAAGTTGAGTTCAACTCAAGGACTTTACTTACATTCTACTAAAACAAGCCAACTTTAAGCTGTGGTATACAACACCCTCAGTCTGACAATAACATGAGGATAACTGAAAATGAAAATATTATTTATTCCACATGACCATGACAGAAGAGGAGAGGGGAATATGGGAACTCAAAATTTGGAAATATAATGACACTAAATGATAGTTTAACATTTCATCTGAACCAGGCCTCTGTCTGATAAACAAAACAATGAAGAGTCTTACAGCAATCTAAAGCCTAAAGCTGTGTTTAGATGTGAATCTTTTGCATGCTGTTGCTTTTCAATGCTGTTGCTGTTCCTGCCCAATTTATTTCCAGTAAATTATTATTGGAAAGAAGTTTACTGTAAAACTATCCCCTTCAATGTGCAGAATAGGGTGGAATATACTCCAGCTGCTATCTGCTACTCCTGTTCATTTCAACCCTCTTTTGTAACCATCTGTTTCCTCTTCAGTTCCCCAAAGAAAGTAGCAATTATGATGAGGCACATAGGTGTTTTATACTATTGTGTAGCACCTTTTCCTTCTTAAAAAAGTGGATTTCAAGAATTTCAGAATATTCAAAAGTCAGCCAGCACCTTCCACTCAATCCCCCAAAGAGTTGTAATGCCCTAAATAATATGATTCCTTAGTCAACCAAGGAAGATTAATGTGAACAACAGTTTGGAAAGTATCTGTTACAAAGTTGATGGATGGCCACTTCTACATACACGTAAGAAAAGATTCCACCTCTTCAGAATATCAAAGGTAAAAATCAGAGGAAGGTGGGATGTGGCATTTCAATGTCAGAAAAAATTATGCACGTACAAATCCAATGTGCATTCTCACACCTGAGGAATTCATGGAAATAAGGAGAGGTAAAGGAGCGATGAAGAGCAAAGAGCATTATCACTAGGGTTGCTGCTCCCTGCCTCTAAAGATAGTGCCCTACATTATACCACACCTTTGAAGTTTCATATGCTTAAGTCTTTCCAGCTAAACAGATTACCCTTGTTAAGAGAGGTGAAAAAAGACAAGGCAGAAGGGAGATTAAACATGGGCTAAAGGATGATGATATAGTCTAGACGCTCCATGAAATTGCCATACAGCACTTGCACATGAAATGGGCTTCTGAGAAATGAATTTTTTCATGGAACAGAATCCTTCAGATGTTTGAGGCAGATTATGGTCCTCAAAAGCATATGCCATTATAAACTAGATAGCCTGTACCCCTCATGTTTAGTTGCAATAAATTGACACACTCAGTTACTCTTTAGAAGTTAATTAACCTTGCTAAATTCTTGGCCACACTTAAGTTTCTCTCTGGAACCTCACATAACATGAAATCTTACACAGTTGGACTAAGAAACAGATATCTGACAAATGCTTAGGTTATTCATATCACTGATCTCTTGGAGTCTATTAGAAACAGAAAGAACACAGAGTTTTTTCAACATTTAAAAATAAAACTATATACTCCATGTTTTAATATGGCTTTGGGTTCATTTGCACCCGGCATTTGCTTATAATTGCTTATACATTTCAGGTGTTGTTTCAAACATTATTTCTTGTCTAATACCAATTATCTTTGCTATTTACAAAGAGAATCCCCAACAACTGCTAATGGACTAGTTGATATACTAAACTTGATGTGTTCTATCACCAGCACTCAAGGTTGACACTCATATTAAGTGGAAAACTTCTGTTTGTTTTCAATGAAGCAGAGTAGCTCAGAATAGCTTTCATGTGGAGTTCATTATCCTCTTAATAAATAGACACACAAGCCATAGACACACACAACAGGGCTCCATCATTCAGCACTAGCTTGAGCAGAAACTTTCTGCTCATCTTGAAACAGAAACTGGCAGAATGCAATGTACATATGCATGATTTGACTCTCAAGACTTTGCAATGAATTAGGATGTGTTAAAATGCTTGTTGGCATTAAAATATATTTTATCAAGGTGATAAATAATTTAAAAAATAAGCTTGTACAAAAATAAAAAGATTTACTCCCACAAGTAAAAGGCAAATATAAGTGATCTTCTGAAAGCTCTTTGAAGCAATAAACAAAGACTGCTAAAGCCACCGAGTTATATCTTTGGTATAAGAAAAGGTAACTCTTTGCAGAACACCAGTGCCATTGGCAGGGAAATCTGATGCTGGCCTGTGCAGCCTGTTTATTCTTACTGTCTCCCTGATGAATCTTCCATGTATAACATACAGATGTTTCTAACATGTCTTCCTATGATGATGGGGGAAAAGCCCAGCACCTTCTTGGCTTTTCCCAGGACTCTGGAATCTAGAATGAAACGACAATATGGAATGGGATGAAAAGGTGGGGGAAAAAAAGTGAAATGTCAATCAGGTATGTAAACATACTGGCTTTTCCTTCAACAAATATTATTTCACAAAAATATCTTGCCAAAGTTTTGCCCAGGGAGCATCAATTATAAAATGTAATGAAAATTGGCTTCTACAGAAGGATTTTTAAGCCAACTCTGAATGATGAATTATTTGGTCTTAAACAGACAAACCTATAAATCAAGTTATGACTTTAAAAACTACCTTGTCCATAGATACATAAGACATTCTCATGTGTTCTGTATCTATCCCAATAATCTTGAATTCTCAATTTTGGGCACAAAACCCTATCATTTTTAGCATTACCAAAACTGTGAAGAAAGGTAATTCCCAAGACTGCTAATGTATGAATGCCAAAAATAATATACTAAATTAATAATTGGATTTGAATTCTGATGACACAAGGGAATGTCAATGTAAAATAGGAAGAAGTGAATGGGAGAAGGAAATCCACCTATGACAAAAGTGGAGAGAGTTTAAGAAAACCATGGATTTTACTTGGGATCTGCTAGCTTTGTGCTTTAGTTGCATGTATTCCCCTCATTGCCCAGCCCACATCTACCAAGACTCAGCTTTGACCCAAGAAAATGATATGCACCCATACCAGCAAAGAACAGTACAGGAAGGATCACATCCCAATAAATGATCAATTGAAATGCATTTATTAATTTGATTTTTAAGGCCACCCCATCACTGACTTTAGGTGGAGGGTGGAAACAAGAGAAAACCAGCCATTAAAAGACAACCAGAAAGGGAGGAACACATCAGAAGCAATACATCACTGTTGATGTTTAGCAGGACCACACATAAATCTAAATCACAGCTTGCTGGAAGAGCCAGGTCTTAAGTTCTCTTATGAGGGCCAGTAGGGTTAGGGCTACATGGACCTAGGGTGGGGAATACTATTTCATATGGAAGCATGGCAACAGAGAAGGCACACCTCCTGGGTCCCATATGGTGGCACTATTTAATTAATAGACCCAAAGCATCTGACCCTGTCAGATTGTATCAAATAGGTGGAAACATTTGGGATGACATGGTCCTGCAAATATCCACTATCAGCATCTTGAATTGCAACCAGAAGCCCATTGGTAACCAGTGCAGGTTGTGTTACATGGCTATACTGAGGTGTGCCTATAATTATTCATGCTGCTGCATTTTGCGCCAGCTGTAGCTTCCCAGAGGTCTTCACAAGAGCCCCACGTAAAGCTCATTGCAGTAATTCAGCTGTGAGGTAACTAAAACATGAGTGTCTGTGAGAAGGGCTTCCTGTTCCAGGAATGAGCACAATTGGTGCACAAGACCAATCTATACAAAGGCCCTAGTGTCCACAACTGTCACCCCACCACAGAAGCTGTGAGTCCAAGAGCACTTCCAAATGACATGCCAGCTCTGCCTGGGGTAATGCTATTCCATCCAGAGCTCATGTTGGAAAACCCTACATGGCTTCATGTAGATGTTAAATAGGAGCAGCAAGACTGGCAAGCCCTGAGGGACCCTGCGTAGCATTTCTTGACACCTATCAACGCTGACTGGAACCAACCACGGAGAAAGGGAGAGAACCACTGCAACACCATACCAGGACAATGAGGCCTGGGCAAAGTGGATTACTCCAATCTAGTCCAAAGGGGTATCTTTCTATCTGTCTGTCTATTTAAATTTATTGGCCGCCCAATTCCAGTGGACTCTGGACAGCGTACAAAACTAGGCAAAACATAAAAACAGCTAAAAACATTGAATCACACAGGGAGCCCAAGCTAAAATAATCTAATAGACAGCAAAAACAACAAAGCAAAACAGGGGCCATTGAACAAATAATAAACATCAGCCCCAGGCCTGGGACCAAAGCCAGGTTTTCAGAGCTTTCTGGAACCCAGGAGAGAGGGTGCCGTCCTTATCTCTGGAGGGGAGGCTGTTCCAGAGGGGGGGGCCGCAACAGAGGAAGCTCTGCTAAAATGTGTCTGACAGAAAGCTGAAGAAGCTAACAGGGCTCCCTTTTAATTTGGCTCAGCTCCTCTGAAAAATCAAACTTTTATTACCTGGGTTGCAGCAATACATGTAGAATGCTAACCCTGCAGCAACACTGAAGCAGGCAAGAAAGAACGTAGGACCTAGAAAAGAAAAAAACAGAGCAGCTACTTTGTTTTCTCCTTCACATTTGATGTCACCATTCTTTCCTAACGCAATTAGAATCATGAGTGCCTTTATTCCTCGTAACTCTTTTTCTGACATCAGCCTTTTTAAAAACTTGCAAAAGAGAAAAAAGAAAATCTCTCCAGGGATTTAAATCCTATATTAGTAAAATAAGTTGGGCTTCTCATGGCTGTTTAAAGTGTAAAATATTACAGTCCAACAGAGGCTATATGATTATACAGGCCTTTTCTGCAATGATGGTACTTATGAGTTTTTCTTGTTGGCTATACATGCTCACCTTCCCATGCGCAGAGCTAAAGACACAGGGGGATGTGATGGGGGATAACAATGATACCCCCTCCCACAATATCCCTGCAAATTGGATGCTTTTCACAACTTCACATGTTAAGTGTGACAATCTGCCAAGGCTATTTAACCATATGTAATTGGTTTATTGGTTTAAATATGCAAAAAGATTTATTTTTCAGAGCTTCAGAAATTTAGAAGTTTGCCTTACCCAGGGCTGCCTTTTATGGGAGCTCTGGAACCATGTTCAGTTAAACTTGCTTCCAGAACCCTAAAGCTAAGGATGCGTTCCTTCCCCCCACCCAATTTGACGTAGACCGGTTCACATCTTATTTCAGTACAAACGATGACCCCAAAGCTAATCTCCATGGGTTCAAACGTGCCATTTGAATAATGTACAGGGCAGGGTCTCAACCCATTTGGGACATGAGTATGACCCAATACAATGGGGCTGTCAGGTCAAGGTCAGAGGCTACAGCCCTAATGATACAATGGCAAATGTGTTTTTAAAAAGAAAAAGAAAAACTTGACATACTTTGATTGGGGAAAGAAAAGGAGCCGGGTGTGGACTTTTTAGATTATAATAGGCCCCTTAACAATGTGCTGGGTTTGGTACAGCAATAATGAGGTCTACCTGTGGAGTTGCTTCCCTGCCTTCTGGCTTCAAAGGAGGAATGGAAGGAAAGAGAAAATGAGTCAGGGCACCAGAGGGCAGCAAAAGGGATTAGTCGTTTTAAAAATTATATGCAGAGATATCGTAAGAGGATTTAATGCACATATTTGAACACCCAGGAGCCTGCAAACAAACCCAGCCAGCAGGTAAGTGAAAGTTTAAAATGAAGTGTCACTTTTTAAAACAGTGAGTTCTGCCCCACAGTCTCTAACCTATAAAATCCTATACAGTCTTCAAAAATGAGAGCGAAAATTATGTGGCAACAGATATTGAAGCTGAACCCCACAGCTTATTATTCTGGAGATCATGGGCACCATTCCTTGGAATGTTCTGCTGGGCAAAGCATTCTGAAATATTGCTAGCAGCCTCATTCTTGCCAAACATCTTCTCTGAACTGCCCTCTTATGTGATCCCTTCCCAATCCTTAGAACAAGGTTCCTCAGCCTCAGCAACTTTAAGTATGGGTGGACTTCAACTCCCACGAATTCCCCACGCCAGCCATGCTGGCTGGGGAATTCTGGGAGTTGAAGTCCACCCATCTTAGAAGCTGCTGAGGTTGAGGAACCTTGCCTTAGAAGATGCAGAATTTTAAGATAGCAAATACATTAAGGGATCAGCTGGTCTGTATGAACAATCCATGAATTACTATTGAAAAAAACCCTTTGGATTATACATACATAGCCTTAATCTTTTCACATCAATGGACATGTTCGCAGGATGAATACTTTTAAGATTAATGTCATCAAAATTAATTACATTAACACAGTACTTTTGTTAACCTTACTATTCATATTAATGCAGCCAACAATATTTTACACATGTTATTTACCCCTGTCATTTAGAACACATTTCTCCTTCTCAGGGTTTATCCCTGTGGAATCTGAGGTTTCTAGAAACAAAAGCAACACACTGAGTTAGTGCTCTATACAGTCCAACAAACTTTGGAAACAAATAATAAAAAAGTGAAAATAAAGTAATTTTCAAAGTAATATAATCAATACAATATGGCCACTAATCTCCTGAAATATTATGGGGGACTCACAGGGAGATTATCTTCTATATTTAGCTTATTTCTAGACTTGTTTTTGGTTGCTGCATATAAAGAGAAGATTCTGTCACAAAGGTATGTTGTTATCAATGACATTAGATGTTTCAACGCTCAACTGGCATTTTCAGGATATTCTTTTAAAAGCTCCATCCAGAAATTCGTAAGTTCTACATGAGGAAATGTTGTTTGTAATGTGAAATCAGTTGAATTTAAATTTAATTTTAATTTCTCAAAGCTTATGTCATAAGAAGCAGCAGCTTTACCAGCAGACTGGAATTTGTTTGGCTTTTTCTGTATGTCTGCAATTATACCAGTTTGTAGCCAATGATTCGTATCTGAAAAAATGTTCACATTACATAAATAATGATTATACCTAATAAAAAGGCATGCACACACACTAAGGGGTCTAGGATTGGTGTTGAAGGCATGGGGTTTTTTTTCCATTATGAGAGCCTGGCTGAAACTACTTAAATATCCTTCTTGCTCCTCCCTCACCTAGGGACTTTTTAAAAAAGTTATTTCACAGCAGGCCAAACTGAAACTATAAATCTATTTTCCTTCTCATTCAAAAAGGGCTTAACTGTGGAAGATATTTTAAACTATAAATATAGATATTTTAAACTATTGCTTCCTGTAGTCACTTATTTCTCTTTGGTTTTTATATCTAATTCACAGCTTCTGACATTTCTTTGTGTGTGTGTGTTTTTTTTAATCCCCAACTGTACCAGTAGATCTCAGTCAAGCCATTAAAGTGCTGGACCACAATCAATCACCTGAAGAGAGCAGCCTTCCCCAACCCATTTTCCAGATGTGTTGTGGTTCTAATTCCCTCTCCCCCAAACTGATTAAGACCCCTAGGTGTTGTTAAATTTGATGACATTATTTAATCCACTATTAGCAGTAGCTGGAACATGCAGTACTGAGCATAACAAAGTTTAACTAAGTTGCCATAAGGGAAAAAAAAAATTAATTCCACGTTCCAAAACCTTACACACAGTGTGTCTGCCACAGATATTTGCACTCTGGAACACACGCATCAAATATTGAAGCAATATGGTATGGAAAGCCTATCTGAGCATTTGGACTAAATCTGGGTATTCCATAATATCTAACTAACTAGCATTTTGTCACAATTTCACATAATCTTGGTTTGAATACAGCTGGAATGTGCCATTGGTGCAATTCCCACACATTTGTTTAAAAGCCAGCTGTTTTCTGTCTGAAAGTGCTCTTCCTCCCCCCACAGACCAACCTCAGTGCTGTTCCTACCGGGGTATTCAAGATCGATATTTGAAAACTAAGAATGGGTTTCAAACACTGACAAGTAGGGAAAAGCTCCAGCTGACAGTAGAAGTGGTAGAAAACCTATTCTTCCAATCTCTTTTCTCATGCACATTGCAAACCCACAGGACTTTTACAATTGACAGCAAGGCCTCAGGGTATCATTACACACAGCTGCAACGTAACATGTAATTTGCACTGAAAATCCATGCAAACGTCTAGCTCTTTATTGTTAAAAAAAAACAAAAAAGGCAAAAGCTCAAGTCTAAAATTTTAAGACAAAAATAAATGTGGTTGACTGATCCTCATGCTTTGTTCTTAGAACATGTTGAACCAAAGCTACAAAAGGAACTGATTAACTTTTGTACTTTCACAAAGGCTAAAGAACAGACACTTTTCTTGTCTTCTTAACAATGAGTTCCTTAAGTCTGGAAAACTTCTGAAAATATACACACTTACTGTATATTTGCCTCTTTCAGGAATATGGAATTTGTGAAACAGCTACCAGGGAAGCAATATGCCCCATTGGCCATTGGTTGTAGCCTTTCCTTTGCAACGTAGAATAATGATGTATTGATTTAAAAGATTCAAATCACTTGACACCAGACAATCTAGATTTCTAATAAAGCCCGTTAGAATGAAGTATGTTCCTAATTCCCATCATTGCTATGACACAGATGAATGTATCAGACAAGGGTAACTCGGTACTTTATTGCCATCACTATATAAGCTAACAGTTGCCAACAATACCACAGTATAATTTAATTCACTGCCTTCCTAGGAGTAAATTGTATTGAATTCAGTGGGACTTATTCTTAGATAATATGTATAGGACTATAGTAAAAACATGCTATGTTTGCTCAATTGAACAGAAGTCCCACTGCATTCAATAGGCTTATCCCTAACCATAAATCTTCCATAGTGGCATAAATGTACAAGTTGTGCATAGCAAGGACCAGCACATGAGATGTTTTACAAAATTCTAGGAACAAGGAAATCCCAGTGTTAATGATGAAAATTAAAGCTCCCCAAAATGAATATGTTTCATTCTTCTATGCTCTGAAAGAAGATAGCTTGCTAAGGGCTAGAAAGTCATTGGGCCACTGGAAACACGACTTCAAATTTCTGCCACTTGACCCACTATATTTGGGGCTCTATACTTAAGAAAGTTTAAAAAAAAAAGCTATAAAAGGAGCAGTCTTATGTTTGGAAACCCATGTCTTATATAGCCAGGGCAGGTTACAATTTCCTGTTCAGCTTATACTTAGTTACACAGCTGCATTTGCAATCTATTCCCTATAAAACTCAGTGGAGCTTTCACCCTGCTTCTCTCAGAGTAGCTGGTGGTTTCAGTTCCTTGGGAAAGACAGGATATAAGTACGATTACTAAACCTGTTTTTCAAAACATTCATCCATATTGCAATAGATCAGAGGTGCTCTTTACTAGCAACTGCACAAGCCTCATGGGCTTGCTATGGCCTGAACTGCAAAAAGAGCAATTTAAAGGAACATAAATCAACCACAGAAGTCTTTTCTTCTATCACTTCTACGGCAGTTCAGAGAAATCAGGTACTACAGTTCTTGACACTATTTTAGCTAGGAGAGTAATACAGTATACTATCAACCAAGTCCAGGCAGCTAATATACAAATTGTAAAAAAAAAAGTCAAGGGTGTCTGGGGGGAGGCAAGGATGCATTGCCTTGCAAATGCTGTCCTTTATGTACTTGCATGCCATGTAATCACACAAGTACAAAAGAGCTGAGCTTGTGTCATGATGTCATCATGCAAGTTTCATTACTTTGGTATCATTATAGCTAGGAACAGGCAACCACGATGACACATCTGATACTTTCAGTGTATTTAATCAAACAATCCGACTTTGAAATCAGTGCTTTTCCTCTCCATTGTACAAATAATATACAGTGAACTGAGAAATCTGACAAATGATGTACACTGCTAAAAAAAATGATACTTGTCTCAAAGCTTAACTTAGCACACTAACCACAGTCAAAGCTAAGCAGTATTATTCTGGTTCCAGGTTGTTAGAAGGAAATCACAGAAATAACATTTAAAGGAACATAATTTGGTCATTGAGAAATCTTCCTTCTCTTACAATTCAGAAAAGTCATCAGGAACTGCCATTCTTGACATTGTTTTAGACAAGTTGGTATGCCAGAAACAATTTGATGTAAGTTCATTACAGCAACCACAGAAGAGGAGCCTGCATACCAAGTCCACAGAGCTGAGATCATAATATGTTAGTGCGAATATGCTTTCTAGACTGAACACCTGTAAATTGTGAAGGAGAGTACAGTACATCTATGATTCCTTTTTGCTACTGCAGCATATTTATTTCAACAATCCACCCCTTTATTTTAACAAGAAAACCAAAAGATAGATGATATAGTGTTGGATGTTGGGTTCTTGGTGTTCTCTGAGCTTGGTAACTTTCCTGCAGATGTTTCATTACCAGGCTGAGCAACGTGCATGGGAGACTGAGATTTGCTGTCTGATTATATACAGTAGGCTGCCCTGCCAGTCTTGGCTGGGATGTGGCTTCTTCCTTTATGGGTCCTTGGACTGGGGTATTATTTTTTCTTTGACTGTTTATCTGGTGTTGTTTCTTGCTTATCTTGGTGTTGGCTGCTGGAGGTAATGTGCGCCGACTGTTTGTTTCCTTCTCTGACTTCTGGTTTTATCTTTTAAATGGTATTGAGATGGGGTTTATCTCTATGTGTCTGTTGATGGCCAATTTGTCTGATTTCTGGCCAAGCTTCTAGGAATTCCTTAGCATTTCTGGATTTGGCTTGGGCTAGAATGTCAAGAGCTTCCCATCTGAAATTGTGGCTGAATTTGTTTAGGTGTTGAGAGATTAAGGAATTCCATAACCAAGTCCAAACATAACATGGTTAAACAGACTAGCAGCAGGTCAGCAAATGAGTAAGACAAAGCTGTATACTCTCCCCTTATTTGTTAAACCTATATGCTAAATATGAGAGTCAGTTTGGTGTAGCGATTAAGGCACAAGGCTCTTAGAAACTGGGAGACCGTGAGTTCTAGTCCCACCTAGGCACAAAGCCAGATGGATGGCATTGGGCTGGTCACTCGCTCTCAGCCCTAGGAAGAAGGCAAAGGCAAACCACTTCTGAAATCTTGCCAAAAAACTGCAGGGGCTAGTACAGGCAGTCACCAGGAGTCAACACTGACTCGAAGGTACACACACACTCACAAAAGCTAAATATATATTGAAGGTAACTGGATTGTAAGATTAGCGTGGTTTTAAAATTGGATGAAGAAATATCAATAACCTGCCCTATGCTTATGACACTACTCTGATAGCTGAAAATGCAAATAATATGTAAATGATCTCCAGTAATGAAAGTCAAGGAACACAGTGAAAACCTGGGACTAAGATTAAATATAAAGAAGGCCAAAGTCATGATAATAGGTACAGAAACCAGCCTTTGAACTGACAATGAAGATACTGAAGGGTGGATAGCTTTACCTTTTAAGATCAACTATCAACAGGAAAAGAATCAGCAGTCAAAAATATACCACAGACTAGCATTTGGTAGAATAGCTATGAAGGTCTTGGAAAGATATTCAGATGCCAGAATGTGTCTATACCTACAAAAATCAGCATTATGCATAAAATGGTTTTCCCTGTGACACTCTATGGAAGAAGCAGGATAGGAAGAGTATTGGCGCTTTTAGCCTCTGATGTTAGAGAAGACTTAGAAGAATACCATAGTTAATCAAGAAAACAAAAAAATGGATCATCCAGAGTTCTCATTTGGAAGCACAAATGACCAGGCTCAAATTATCGTATTTTGGACACAATGTGTGAAGAGCCAGCTCCCTTGAGAAGTTCTTAATGTTGGGAAAGGTGGAAGGAAAGAAAAGACAACCAGCAGCAAGGTGGATGGATTCAATTACAGTGGCAATGAGTATACCACTGGAAGATCTAAAGGGGTAAGTTGGGGACTCATCCTGGAGAAGGTCTATCTAGGCAGTTGTTGAGAGTCAACACTGATTTGATGGCACATAAGCAAGCAAGCTGATTAAGCGGAGATGAAATATTTACAGTCTGGGCAAAAATTTGGGTTGGACCCAGAGTTAGCAATCCTTTCATTTCAATGAAATGATTTCCTAATTTCCAGGCCCTGCTATAACTCAGACTGTAGCTAAGCCTAAGCACACATCTCCAGTTTCCCCTCCTTTACTTAATATTTACCATGTTGAATTTGCTTTGTGGGCAGGGAATTGTACTTGTTCACTCTACTGAGTTTCATGCATACTTCTTTTGTGAAAATAACTATGAGGATATCAGAACTTGAGTCAGTCATAGTTAGTGATGGATGATCTATTCTTGCCATGATTTGTAATTTTCTTGCCAGTTAGAAACCCAAATACAAATCTGGTTGAACAATATCTGCTTCAAGTTTTTCTATTGTTTTCATATCTTAACATGTGTGCCAGAGACCAGGAATATGGTTTGTTGTTTTTTCATCACAGAACAACACATACTTTTGTTTTTGAGTGGTATCCTATATCATTACATACAATAGTAATAAAGTATAATGGCAAGGAAAAAGAATCATATGCAGAGGCAGAACACATCCATGTTCTTGGCAACCTTTTTGGAAGTGGTTTGCCATCTTCTTCTTCCTAGGGCTGAGAGAAACTGACTGGTCCTAAGTCACCCAGCTGATTTGGTGCCCAAGGCAGGACTAAAACTCTTGGTCTTTCAGTTTCTAACTTGGTACCTTTAACCACTACCCCAAACTGGTTCTCATCGAAGAACTACAAGCACAAAAATGGCAGAGTTTGGATGTGTAGTCATGCAGAATATGGACAGACAGAAATATAAATTAATTCATAATCAATCTTGGGGTGAATTGCAAAAAGAATGTAAATAATTGAAACAAAGTTTAGGCTTGATCTTGAGTGTTTTCTAGACCCTCTGCACATATTCTAGAAAGAGCTATAGAGCCAAATGAACATTTGGCATCACCACTTCTCCTGATTAAATTAAATCTGGATCCAGTCTCCTTGATATGTTAGCCTATGTTACTGCTATACAGCAGAAGCAATTATTTCAACTTGGGTAGCTCTTATGAAAAAAAAAAAAAGAGCAATAGTTTTAAAATTTGACCTAATAGAATGCATGCAAGTCACTCCAAAAATGACCTTAACCTTCTAGGCCAGGAGACAGCTTTGCAAACATAGATGATTACTCTCTAATCAAGGCATAATTGAGTCATGTATGTCTGTAGCCTTTAACCTCTTTGTCCAGAAGCCAGTAGCACTTTCCTTTGTTTTTAACAAGCAGCTTGAGAACTCAGATTATATAAATTATGTTTGTAGGTGTCACTGATATTGCCAATGATATCTACAAAGAAAAAAATGATTGTATATAGATATCAAATTGTAATCACAAAAATCTTCAAATAGGAATTGAGAATAGACATTTAATTGTGAGAGCGCCTAGGCAA